AGGCTGGTCTTAATCTAGTGTCCCTCTCCTGACAGAGGCTTCAGTTCAGAAAAATATTTTAAACATGTGCTTACCCGTATGCACATGAGTCATCCCACAGAAATCAGTCAGGCTGTTCATCTGTTTAAATTAAAGCACATGCATAAGTGCTTTGCTAGGTTGGGGTCACGGTGCCATACCCAGAAGACCCAATGATGTCATGGCAACTTCGTGTGTGTCCATCGATGGCAATTTTCAACCCTATTATTAGAGGTAGGAAACATATGAACCCAGCCCGCCTGACGTGTTTATCAGGATCCCCCTCCGATTCAGAGTCTGCAGAGCAAAAGCTTTAATTTAAAAATAAAACAAGAAAAAAAGAAGTTACTAGTTTTTATAATCGCAAAGAAAACTTTCCAAACATTGGACAGAGAATGCCTGGTACAGAACTATCATCCTGAACCTGCAAATTGCCTGGAACAACAGCTCCAAAAGAAGTGACTCACCCCACTCATTCTAATCGGGTCTTGCCTATACAGCCTAATGACAATAGTTTAAAGACACAGATTCTGTTGTTTTAGGTGCTCAGCTATTTTTCACAGTTAAGACATTCATGTCTGAACATGATCCGGTTCACACAAGTGGCAAAGTGCAAAAAAATGGGTAGTCCTAAAAATGCCCTGCCTTCCCACCCCCCACACACCTTCCCTATTCAGCAATGCCAAATCCAACTGTGACTTTACTAAATGTAAGTTCAATTCCTACCTAAGGGCCACTGTCTACTCTCAATCTTTGTACAAAGCTCCTTTTTTTTTTAAATCAGTGAAAGATCTACCGAGTCCTAACTTGTGGACCCGGCCCACAGTTTATAATTAAAATTTGTAATTAACCTTTTTAGAAAAATCGGTGGTGCGCTCCTCCATTGATATTTTTTACACCTGGGTTGGAAGTAAAATGCCTAGTAAATATCTGTTCCCAAAACACCATGCAAAGGAGAAAGCTAACAAACAGTGGTCATCTTTGTACACCGAAAGCCTTTTTTTGCAATGGCGCCTTTCATTTTAGATGGAGCTTTGTGAGTACTGCTGTAATAAGTATTTCTGGCTACCCAAACACACACAGTAGATGATGTACAAGTAAAATAGAAGACTTTTTCAAACCGATTCTTCTTGTCCCTAGTACATTTTCTTTGACCAGTGATGTAACCCTTTGATCCATCATCTCTCCGTTGAACAGCATTATCTAGGTGAAGAAATGGGCATGCCTTGATTAAGCTTAAATGTACAAGTCTTATATTAGGCTGTGTACAGGGCTGACAAATGAAAGGGATTCACCAGATTCTTATAAATACCATTTTTTTTAAAAAAAAGGAGGCCTAATTAAATACTTTCTGCTCTGGGAAAATAACACAGAAGAGCCAATGTGTGAACATTACAGTTTTGGACCCTACGTTGAATGGTAAAAGTATCTAAATCATCAATCATATTCTTAAATTGTATTTATTTATGGATTTGTATCATGTACCCACCATTCATGATCTGGGCACACATACATATATTAAAATAATATACATACTTATCTACAAATCAAAATGTAGGTACATTTTCACCCTAAGATACAGATCTGTACAAAGCTCCCCCATCACTCGCTCAAGCATAGGCCTGCGTAAATAGAAACTAACGAAGAAAGGAAGCTGCGACTGAGACCAAAGGCAGTTTCCAGCCGTGATAGTAAAGGAGAATATGGTCCACAATTTGTCACAAAAGAAGAGTTGTTTGAATGCTGGATACTCACAGACACTTTAGGATCACTTTGATTAGTCAGTAGAAACATCTTGTTAAATTTGAAATGGCAAAATTCTTCAAAGCAGTATATTATTTACTGGCGGGGGAGGGGAGAGAAAGTGCGTGAAAACAATGAATGCGCTAAATTTGGATTACTATAAATAGTGAATTCCTTCCCCCCCCACACACACACACACACTTTTTTTAGTAAATAACATTGCTGTGAAAAATTTGCAAAAGTCCTTATTTAGTCTTACGCAGTCAGATACTGAGCAATCCTTATTTTGCGGTAAAATAAAGGGTTCCATGCTAATCTCAATCTGCATGTCAAACTCCCGTTTATGTCAATGGAAGTTTGGTGCCCAGATCTAGGCCTGGACACAGTCCTGTCTCATCAGTCTGCACTTTCTACTGCAAATTAGTAGCAACACAAAGGCTCTCCCGGCAGGCCACCGGAACCAGCAATAGTTAAACAAGAAGAGATGAAAAGAGAATTAAAAAAAAAAAAAAGGCTTGAAAAGCCATTGTGTGTCTTTGCATGTGCATAATGTGTATTTTTCTATATAGAAAACAAATACATACACACACATACACGCACACATAAAATACTCACGCAAACACATATACTCAGCCTTATTTAAAGCCCTGTCTAAAGAGTACAACCCCACAAAAGCGCTGGGCATGTAAGCAAGGGTCCAATCAGCTTCAAAAGGAGTTTTGACAGTGCAAGCAATGCAGGAGTCAGCCCTGTGTAAATATCTACCTTATTAATCAGAGTCCAGAGCTTTAGGGCTTGTCTCTGTAAAGAGCTCAGAGCTTTGGTTCTGATCCAGCAAAGCACTTAGGTGACTGCTTAACTTTATGAATGGAACTACTCACATGCTTAAGTTAAGCACATGCTTAAGTGCTTTGATGGATTAGAGCCAGAGTTCTCATAACCTTGTGGACAGTGCCCGTAGTTGGGCAAAACTCCTGCTGATTTAAGCTGAGGTCGTTGTCTGAAATAAAGACTGCAGGATTGGATCCAGTAAACACAGGTGTTCCTCTGGCCTTGTAAAATCTAAATCTGAGTTACATCACATTTCTACTTGTGTGTTGCATAAACAAATACTTAAAGCATGGTACAAATAACTCACTGCAAGAAAAAAAGGAGGGAAAAACACTTGGCACAATTTCTTCAGATTATGCCTGTTTGGGAAATTCTTCATATAAAATAACTAACTGAACAATAAAACAGCAGCCCAGACCAGCCCCTTAATAGCAGAAGCATGTATAAAGAGCATCAGTCCAGTTAAATCAAAATAGATAATGAATAGATCACCTCCAATTTCATTATATACATGCAAAATGGAGCAAAAAATTTGAAGCACTTGATATAAAAATAAAGCAGATCAAGAAATGAGTTACACACAGAGCCCATGAGTTTAGAAAGTCTCCCCTGCATTTAATAAAGCATGATTTTTAGAAAAAAAAGAACACTAACAGGTCCCTTGCAGATCATTTATATTAATCTTATTATATAAGACATTCTGTGTTTAAATTAAACTATAGCTTAAATTAAAATGCCCCCTTTGCTGGGTCTGTAAGCCTAGGTGTTTGTCAACAAAATGTGCAATCACCAATGAAAATTACATACTGTATAATTTTAAAGCGTTCGGACTTTTTTTCCCCTCACCAGAAAGAGAAATAAGCAGACTTAAAAAAACAGAGCATATAGGAGTCTGTATTCAAGAGCAAAATTTCTGGGACTAGTTAAAACAAAAAGAAAACAGCCAAACTGAGGGATGGAGAAAAAATATAATTTTACTCCCCTCTCATTAATTGAGTACTTGGAAAGGTTTTTACTATGTGACTTATCAAACCAATCTTGTACTCCTTATGCAGACATCAATGGTTATTTTTGCCTCAGTAAGGGCTATAGACTGAGACAATGTAATAATTCACAACTGATATTTTATCTGAACTTTTAAGAGTTGTAAAGGATAGTGAGTCTCAGAGCAATATGTGTCTAGTGCAACATCAGATGTACCAAATGCTATAAAACAATGGATTTCATATCAGCTCTGAAAAAGGAATTAAAATTAGCATTTCTTGTGGTACATTCGTTTTATATTATCTCTCAGACCACCAAATTGGAAAGCAGAATTACCTATGGAAAATAAATTGAACTAAAAATGGATCAATCCTAAATCATATATTTACAGGCTTTTGACAGAGTCACAATACAGTTTTGTATATGCATAAAAAATGAACATTTGACACATTTTGTGCCTTACCATAGACCTAGAATGAATTAATATAATTAAGCAATTTGATTATCTTCCAATTCTGTAATTTAATTGATAGATGAACATATTTTTGCACTGTATCAATTAAGTCTGCAGATGCAAAGAGAGGATGAAACTACAGATGCAGATGAAGATCGATGTTAACAGGGTTTAGACTTCTACCAAAGCAAAATAGATACACAATACAAGTATAGTGGATGTATCTTTCCAGGGCTATTTTACTCAAGAGGATCCATTTAAAATTATTTAAAACATCAAATGAAACACAAGTTATCTAAACATCAGATTTTCTAATTTTATTAAAAACTCACAAATTTTATCCAACATGTTTTCTTTCATACAGTGAATGGTCTAATATGCACTGGAGGTCACACAAGCTTAGGTTTATTAGAACAATAAAAGACATATGAGAAATTTAATATATAAAGAAAAAAGTAGCAGCTGTTGACTGCATATTTGACCATAAAATTTAAATATTTTGGACTTTTCTTTTAAAGACACAAAAATAAAACCTGTGTGGGTCTATATAAGTCATATTAACAATTCCATGAATGTTCAACAGGACTAAAAATTAGCAAAGATGTTTGTTTGTTTAACCTTATAACACTTTAAAAAAAACCACTTTCTCAGGTTGCTGGTGCAAAGCACCTTACAGTATTTGTGCTATATAATTACTTTATTTGGCAACTGTCTGGTTTTCGTGGGTTTTTTCTTTGCCTTCTGTAAACAACACCTTTTACAACTAGCACAGTGAACCACAAGCCCTGCAGTCTGTCATGTAACATCTACAGAAAAGAAAGTGATCTATTTTGGTTGGTTGCTCAAAACATTTTGCTTTTGAACAAGAGGTTCTAAAACAGGATTTATTAGTAAAACATTGAACTCCTGAATTTAACATTATACGTAAACAGTTGACTGTTTTTAGTTCAATAGAGTCTTTTGTTTAAGGTTTTTTTTTTTTTTTTTTTTGTGAAGGTAGAATACTTATTTGTTTGTTTCAAGTCATTTTTAGTGAGAGGTCTGGTTCGTGACCTTTGTTATTATGAGGATTTTGTTTTTGTTTTTGTTTTTTGTGTATGTAGCTTTGTGAAGGTAGAAGAGTTGATGCTGAGGGCTTACATTTAGTATTTGTTATTTTGGCAAAATAATTTAAAAAAAAAAACCAACAACAAAAAAGTCCCACCTGATAGTCAGCAGGCTCACATTTCTGAAGCTAAAAAGAGTTTGTTGTTGTTGAACTTTCTGAGAGACAAAATTAACAAATTCATAATGCCAGAAGCATCCTTAACCAGGAACGCTAGAGTTCTCGCTGCTTCCCCCCTCCCTTTCTTTGACCTTTGTTTTGTTCTTTTTTTTTTTTTTAAACAAAACATTTCTAAGGATTGTGGCTCTTAGGGTGACATCCAACAGGGTATTCAACCTATGGCAACACTTTTACTGTACAGCTTCACCAGTGTCTTTTCAAGGGTACAAAAAAAGTCCCTTTTTGTTTGTTACAACCATAGTATGAAGATTGTCCCGGTCTATAGCAAAGCTTGCCTTGGAGTGATTTGGATTCAGTTCATTCCCAAGGTAAAATTGTCTTAGGGCAAGAGAGATGTTATATTTATTCATTTCTGTACACCATAACATAAGCAGACTAGAAGATCATCACTTACTTAGACCCAGTTTGTTTTAAAGCTACCACACAGCCGCTTCATTCATTTCTGGGGGATGTGACAAGTGATTGCCGTAAGTAGCACCGCCGTTGACAGATATCGAAGAAAACGGAGGACTTGGACCAAAAACTTCTGCAGACATGGAGTGCAAAGAACCTGGCAGGTTGGGCTCAGGGCTGGGTGAGTCTCCAGGTGGGTGTGACATTATGTCAGTGAAGCGTTGAGCCTCACTGGAAGGGTGATGTCCAGGTAAAGGGTGATCCATCCCACCCAAAGGAGTTCCTGATGGCCCAGAAGAGGGCACAAAGGGGAGATCAACGGGCGTCTGAGCTTGAGATGAAGGGGGTCCTTGCGGGAAGAAATCATAATTGCTTCCAGGGCCATAATATTCACTCTGATAATCTATGAGGCAAAGAGAGAGAGAGAATAATGCAAAGGAACTAAATGTTAAAAAAAGAACTTGGTGCATTAATCTGATTCAAAGCTAACTGAAAGCAGCACGCATCTTTCCACTGAGTTCACTGGGCTTTGGCTCAGGCCCTCAATTAAGCACCTCGACCAGATGTTCAGAGGAGCCCAGTACCCAGGTAGACACTTAAATAAAGGAGCCAGATTTTCCTAAGTGATTGGCACTCAGGAGCACTTACTTCCCATTGAAGGACAAGTGCTCCACCCCCAGCTGGCCTCTCCATTCAGGTGCCTATAGAGGTGCTAACCGCTTTCAAAAAGCTGGCCCTGAATAGGGGTTCAGGTGCTGATTTTCAGAGAAAGGTGCCCAACTTCACACGCACTGTATAACCATAACCTTCTGCTCCAAGGAGTTGATGGTAAGTACAGGAAAGTGGCGTTTTTAAGGTAATGTGCTTTGCCCAAGCAGATTTCAGAGAGCTAGCCCAGCTAGTCTGTTTTGGCGAAAACAATAAGGAGCTGGTGGCACTTTAAAGGCTAACAAATTTATTAGGCAATAGGGAGTCCTGTGGCACCTTTGAGACTAACCAAAACACACAGAATCATGAGCTTTTCTTGGGCAAAACCCACTTTTAGTTAGTCTCTAAGATGCCCCCAGACTACTCGTTTTTTGAAGTTACAGACTAACTGCTGTGTTAGGGGATAAGCTTCCTGAGATACAACTCACTTCTTCAGATTCGTGAAGAACAAAAGAAGGGACACCGAGATGGGAGTGTGACAATTAGCACGGATGTCACACTCTCATCTTTGTACCCCTTCCTTTCTTCTTTCCTTTACTCTACAAGCAGCTGAAAAAGTGAGTTGTCTCTCAGGAAAGCTTATGCCCGAATAAATGTGTTAGTCTTTAAATGCCACTGGATTCCTTGTCGGTTTTGCCCATGCAGTGATCGGATTCATTTTTCAAGTTTCAGCAAGTCTGAATTCCAACCTTTTGTCTCCAAAGAAGGCACCATTGCACGAAAACAAAGAGAAAAAAGAGAAAGAAACCAACGGAATTTCAAAGCGAATACTGCGTAGCTGATAAGATGACGTCTGCATCTGGGTGGATTGGAAAGCCTTGGTGCAAGTTGTTTTAGCAGGAGGGATCCACCCCTGTTGATCCTGGCCCACAGGATATGCCTAGCACCTTTCCTATATGTCTGTCACTTGATCTACTGAAATCCAACCCCTTCCCTCCTTCACAATGGAGCTTTCACACCACCTCAGATTACCTTGCTGGAAGAATGCAGGGGGAAAGGCAGTGGAACCCATTTCAAATAAAAGGGAAAGGGGGAAGGATGAGCAGCCTAAATTACAGTGAAATCAAACAGGTGACTGTTCTTTTAAAAGGTGTCTGAAAACAACACTGACAGGGCCTGTTGTTTTACGCCCGCTCCTTATTCTCACCTTAGGAAAATGCCACGGATCAAGGAGTTTATTTCTACCCAGAGCCGCGCTGACTGTAGGATGGGGCTACACAGGCTGTGGCTCACTACATTTGATTGCATTCTTCATTTCTGTGCCTTCCTGTTCCCTCCATTCCCTCCTCCCCCAGACAGGTTTGTGAGCCTAATGTGTTTGTTTATTCCCCCACCGTCAATTGGTGCATTCATTCCAGCTGGGGTGGGATGCTTTCTGCAGTTTGGTTTATACACATTCCCTCGGATTCATCTAATGTGTAACAGACGAATCCCAGGAAGAGCCAAGGAGCAGCCAAAACAAGGAAGAGAGTGGGAGGGAGCCTTTCACTATACCAGGGACAGGAAACCTAAGGCCTTTGCCAGGATCAGGACTTCCCTCCCCCCCCCCCCCCCCACAGCATTGGGGAGCCCACGCTGGTGCTCTACCCTCCCCAATCCCATGGGGCTGGAGCACACAAATCTACTAGCCTGGTACCTCCCAAGGTTCTGGTGTGTGAGGGGAATGCGAGGAGTGTCTTTCTCCTTCTCAGCTGGGGGCCACATCAGTGAGGGGGTTTTATTTTATTTTATTTTATTTGCTTCTCACTTGTGTGCAGCCCCCCTCGACTGACTTTTCTGTGAGTCAGCAGCCCCAGCCCAAAAAAGGTCACCCACCCCTGCCCTATACCAACTCAGATCTTTACTTTCAGCAAGACAGCTCCTGGGTTTACTACCAGCTCTGTGTCTTGTATCTACCAGGATCTGGGAAAGGGAGTCCTTCGCCCAGGGCAACTTTTCTGTGGGTGCCTCTCCCTTCCTCCAGAATAAGATAGCCCCCTCCCTCCGAACCTTCCCCCAAGCTTTGCAAGGAGATTTTAACTCCAGGACTCCAGGAATGTGCCCCCAGGGCTGCTTTCTGGAGAGGAAACAGGCTTGGAGGAGAGAAACCTCCCAGGTCTTCCTCCCCCAAACCTCCCCCTCTCCTGCAGACAAGGAGCAGCCCGGCCCATCCTCAGCCCATTTCCCCACTGGTGTTTCAATGCTCTCTGGAGCCAGGCTCCCCTCCCCCCCTTCTCCACCAGGCGACAGGGGCTGCTTGGCAGGGATCTGCCCGGGCCCTGTACCCCTCCCTGGTAACTCCCCCGTGCGCAGCCCGGAGACAGCGCGTCGCAGCCGGGGCGCGGGGAACCTGGCCCGGCCGTGGCTTCTCTCCCGCGCCGGGGCGCGCTCACCCACCTCCGTAGAAAGAGAAGGGCCCGTTGGGGATGAGCTCGCCCGGCTCCAGCCGGTCCACCAGCGGCCTCATGCGGCGCGGGCTGCGGAAGAAGGCGTGGCGGCGGGCCCCCAGGGCGCTCAGCTGCTTCATGCGCCGCTCCTTGGAGCGCCGGTTCTGGAACCACACCTGGGCTGGGGGAGGAGGAGGAGAGAGAAGGGGGGAGGTGAGGAGCCGACGCCTGGGACAGGCTGATCCCCCCTCACCCCAGGCGAGCCTGCAGCGAGCCCTGCCTCCGTCCATCCCCCCCAGCCCGGCAGAGCCGCGCAGGCCAGGGACCCGGGCGTGGCGCGCCCCTAGACCCCCTCTCCCCGCGCCTAGACGCACAGGCAGGGCACCGTGTGACTCCCCCTCGGATCCCCCCTGCAGACCAGCCCCGCGCTGAGCTCACCCCACCCCGGCGCGGATCTGTAGCCAGGGCTCCCCGCCCCTCTGCCCCCCAGGCAGGGACCAGGGCTAGCAGCGAGGAGGCGGCGTGTGGCTTCCCTCCCCGCCGCCCCCGAGGCGCTGAACCGATTCTCCCGGGGCTCCTTCCCGCTCTCCCTCCTGTTGGGTGTCCCTGTCCGCCCAGGCTCTCAGCACCTCTTTCCGCCCCGAGCAGGCGGACGGAGAAGGACTCTGCAGAGCCCCGGGGGGCAGGCGAGAAGCGGGCTGAGAAACAGCAAAGTGCGTGGGTCCATCCGGGCGCCGGGGACAGACCGTAGGTCACTAGAGGCGGGCTCCCCCCAGCCAGGGCCCGTCTGGCCCCCACCCCTGGCAAAGCCGAGTCTCGAATTCCCCAAATCCCACCAGCACTGAGACCCGCTTCGGATGCACCCGCGGGAGCGAGAGGCCGGGTAGCAATGCGCAATGGAGCGCTAGCACCAGCCCCGGGGCGCGGGCTGTGTCGGATGGGGCAGGACTGGTCTCCGAATAAACCCAGGACCGCAGAGAAAAACGACCCGCGGGGCTCAAACAACCTCTGGGGAACCCAACGAGCAATGTCTCCAGGTGCTTCGAAACGGGGTTTGGTTTGAATCTTTTGTCCGTGGAGACGGACTCGAAGCACGTCGGAGAGGCGATTTAAAGCCAGCGTTGCGCCTCCCTCTTCAATAAAAACAAAGCAAAGTCCTCAGCGCTTCGCTCCCCGGGTCACTAATTAACTTCAGGGCTCTCCCGTCCTGGGGCGGCGGGGCTAGCGAGAGCAAAACCCCGCTCCAAGGAAAACAAAGGCGGGTGCTATTTTTCTTTTAAGAGGGGGGGGAAAACCCACCCGGACACAGATGTTGTTTTGCCTTCTAGGTGCGGGCTCGATCCTGTCACCTTTGTTCAGGCAAAACGCGCCGAACATCAGGTGCAAATTAAGCGCCGGTCTAATTTTAACTTCATGGCAGATAGTTTCTGGGAAAGGTATGTACACCGAAGCGTTCATGTGTACACACAGAGATGCATATTTACACAGACATATATAACTGAATGTGTAGCGATAGATATACACATTGTGCGCAAACAATTGCAGAGTGTGTATATGTAGTCACACTATAGATATAGATAAGATTAGATATATAGTGATAGCAATGTAGCCGTGTTAGTCTGATGTAGCTGAAACAAAATATTAGATATATAGTGTGAACGCATATATACACGGATACATGTATAGCTGCATACACAAGAATAAAGGATATACATAAATGAATACATGTTTCTATAAGAATAACGAGAGTACATATATAGACACACACATACACACCCTTTATTCTTATATATGCATATCCACAACTGCAAAGGGGCTTATTAACACACCCATGCACAGCTCTCTCTTTGTGTACACACACGTATCTTCTTCTGCTACACAACTAAACTGTCCTTAAATGCGCAGTCGGTGCTGAACGGAACATTTCAAATCAGGCCCTTTTGCTTATACCACTGCGGCTGCAGGTCAAGAATGATTGAGTTAATTCTTATTACCCTGACAAGATTACTCCTAATTATCCTCACACTGAGACTCTCCAATCTAACCTCGCCTTAATGGTCCCTTAACCCCCCATTACCCCCAGCGCTGCGGGTTTATAAACCTTTTAATAATTCCAGCGCATTGTCATTCTTATTTATCCATTAACCCCTCACATTTCTGGTTATTAATTTCGAGCCCAGTCGCAGCTCCTTCCGCTGCCTTTACAAAATAAAGAAAGTCCGGGCATGGTGTTAGGGGCCACATCTCGGGCGAACCCCCCGGTGAGGGGTGGCTGGCAAAGCGAAGCGAGGGCGCTGGCCGTGACATTCCAGTTTGGGGTGACGATGCAGGCGGGTTTCAATCTTTGCATTCACGATGCTTCCTACATATTCATTCATCTTTAAAGCCTGAAGGTACCTGGTAGTTTGGGGTGTGTTAATTTGCTCTGCACCAGGCAGTAGCAGTATCAGGAGGCATTATCCTTCCTTTCTTCCTGGCCATTCCCGTCTCCTCTTATTCTGTGTTTTCCTGTCCCTCTTTCTCTGTTTCCCCCCTTCTATGCTCCTTGCCTGTTCATCTGTTGCTGCTCCTTGTGGCTTAGAGGGCAGGAGCCCAAGGAAAGGTGAATATAAAACGCAGGGAAGGTTTTTTCACCTCCTACAGCCCAACCCCACAGAAGGAAATTTCAATACACATCAGGCGCTGGGCACTTCAAGCAGCTGTTTAGCTCTTTCAATAATATAATTGATGGATAATGAATTATATTTCAATGCCCAAACAGGACTTTCCCTGTTTTGTTTTTTAATTCCTTAATTTTTAATTTCGTGGGACTGACCAGGAAGCTAAGCACCCAGGCCTTTGCTTTCTATAAGTCTGCCTCGGTTTTAGGTACAGTCACTGTGGGCTGCATTCTCACGCTTCCCCCTGACTTTTGGAAGGGGTCCGGGTCATGGACAGGTAGAAAGCGCAGGGAATGAGGAGGGGTCTGGAAATCTTGCCTTCTGTAGGCCTGGAGGCTTTTTGCTACCCAGGGGAGACCCGAGGCTAAATCCCTTCTCTTTAACTCGCTTAGCAACTCAACCCTCTCCCCCCCCCCCAATTGCTGCTGCTGAATTTGGAAGTGAATCCTGTAAATCAAGGATGGGGAAACTATGGCTCAGAGACCGGATTGGGCCCTCGGCTTGCCTGGATCTGGCCCCAGAGGGTGGGGCTCCCCCCAACATTGGGGAGCCTCATCCCAGAGCCTGGGGGGGGCATAAAATCTACTAGCCAGGGCCCGTAGGCTCTGGTGCGCAGGGGAATGTGGGAAGGGCCTTTCTGTTTCTCAGTCCAGCTAGGCGGTTTTTTTTTGTTTTGCTTCTCACTTTGGGGCACCCCCCACTGATTGTGTCGTGGGGCAGCAGGCCCCGGGCCCCCCCCCCAAAGGCTTCCCACTCCAGATGCAAAGTTAAACTTTTAAACCAGCCCAGCCTGGCCCTTTAGAGATTTACCTGGAGACCCCACAAGGCAGCCTGCCTTTGGCTGCTCCCCCATGCGATGAACCGACCAGACCCTCTCTTCCTCCCCACCCGTGCACCCCGACGCTGCGCCCTGGCAGCCGAGGCGGGGGCTGGGGGCTGGTACCTGTATGACGCGCATGTTGAGCCCGGTTTCCTGGGCCAGCTGTTCCCTGATGTGCCTGGTGGGTTTGGGGGTGGCTGCGAAGGCGGCTTTCAGCGTCTCCAGCTGCTTGGCTTTGATCGTGGTGCGGGGCCCCCTCCTCTTGGCCCCCAGGTTCTGATCATCGTTTTCGTTGCTGCCAACCTCCTTGTCCGACACGTTCGCGCTCTCGGAGTCCTTCGCGTCGTCTTGGGAAGGGTCTTGGGAATCCGGAGACAGGCTCGGGTCGCTGCCGGTCGTGGCTGGGCGGAAGGAAAGGGGGGGGGGGTCACACTCAGGTCGTTTGTGCGGGAGGATCGGCGGACCTTGCCCGGGGAACACACGCGGGGGAAGGATCGCTCAATGCGCCTTGGACACCTACAGCGCCTTGGACCCCTTCACCTTCCCCATCTTGGGCCCCCCACCGCTTCCACCCCTCTGCTCTTTCCTAGGGCACTACCCACTGGACTCTCCTACCCCGCCCCCCGCCTCCCACTGAAGGGGGATTTAAATGGCCACATCTTTTTGTTGAGACCAGGCGAGACCAGCACAATCAACTCATCTGATCTCGTCCAAAGCTTTAAAAAATACCTCGCCTTCAAAAAATAAAATAAAATAAAATAAAATAAAGAATAAAAATCAATAATAAAAAAAGCCTGGCCTGTATTTCAGAGCATTAGCTGAATTCGGGGTGAACCACACATCAACCCGCAGTCCCACTTGGAAATCGGCCTTTCGCAGCTGGCCGATTGATCGGGTTCTGCCAAGCAGCTCCCGAGTCGGGCGCAAGGGCGCATCTGTCTCTCGGCTAGCGGCGCGCTTAGGTGGGTTCCCAAGGCCACAGACGCAAAACCCCAGCCGGCCCAATAGGCCGTGGATCAGATGGCCAGCGGGGGAGTCACAGCGTCTAAAATAGCTCCCGCTGTCCCACGCAGACCGCTCACGCGTCGCGCCGGCCGGTGAAATCCCTACTCTGAAATACGGCCGAGTGGTCAGTCAGGCTGGGCTTTTCTGAGGGATCGGGGGCAGACCTCAGGCCCCCAAGGCCCCCACTCAGACGGCTCCCTTGGTAGTACAGAAGGAAACAAAACCCGACTCTGTATCGTCCGCGCAAATATTCGCCGGTCTCTCTGGCACTACCAGCCTGCACCCCACAGCCCTTTCTGATGGTAAAAAAAAAAAGCACCCTTCCAGAATGAAATGTCAGCGCACACAGGAAACCACAGCTGTTCTTTTTGCATTGTGCGCGTGTTGCATTTCAGCTCTGCCTAAAGCTGCCCTTCTACCCTCCTCTTCCCCCCCCCTCCCCCCGCAAATCAGGAAGGCTTCCTCGCCTCCAGTTTAGACACGATGGTGAAAGTTGAGCGGGGTCCCAAAATCTTGACTTGCCAATAGACAGAGAAACAAATAACAAGGGGAAAGAGAAGAAAAGAAAAAGAAAAAGAAACGGGAGGCGATTTTGTAGAACTTTCCTGACACAAAAGGGATAGGAGAGGCGAGATCTGACTCTTCAGGTAGGTTGGACGCTGCTGGGGAGAGATGCGGGTGGGGGTGCGTGGACACCCCCCCGACCGATCCCACGCCAGTGGGCGCGCTCAGTGGGCTTTGGGTCAGGCCCCGAGTGCCAGATCACCCGCTTTGCAGCCCCGCGTTGGATTTTAGCCTTTCCCAAGCCAGCTGGCCGCCCGGCAGGAGCCCGGCAGAGCCCCCCTCACCTGAGTGCAGGCTGTTCTCTTTGGCAGTATTGCTGTTATTTAGGTAATCTTCTTTGCAGACAAACTTGTTCTCGTCGATAATGTAGAGCTCCTCGCCGGTGGAGAGCTGCTTGTTACACATCATACACGTAAAACAGTTCAAGTGGAACACTTTGTTCCGGGCTCTCCTGACCAAGTCGCTGGGGGAGATGCCCTGGGCGCAGCCAGCGCACTTGGTCCCAAAACACCTGGCGAGGAAGAAGAAGAAGAAGAAAAAAAAGTGGAAAAACACCAGGATCAGCGCATCATCCGAGGGACCCGAAGGATCCCGTCCTAGCAGCGATCCACAATTCAAACAGCGCCTGACACTTTTTTTATATTAAATCAAACCCATTTTTTTTTATGAAGGAGGGAAGAAAGCAGCAAAGGGGCCACCTTTCCTGGAAGCTTTACATTCGTACACATAATAAAAAATCCCCCAAATCAAAACACCAGGATCAGCGCATCATCCGAGGGACCCGAAGGATCCCGTCCTAGCAGCGATCCACAATTCAAACAGCGCCTGACACTTTTTTTATATTAAATCAAACCCATTTTTTTTTATGAAGGAGGGAAGAAAGCAGCAAAGGGGCCACCTTTCCTGGAAGCTTTACATTCGTACACATAATAAAAAATCCCCCAAATCGCCTCCATTATATCTAGATAATAAATGATATGTTCAAAAGAAGTGGTCTGGGAAGAGGATAAATCGCTGGAAGATTAATTAAAACACTGGAGCTGGGCTGTGGAGAGTTTCCCCTTTAAACCTTGACACATTGATTAAATTTCTGATACGTTATCAATTTGTCAAGGGTGTTGCATTGTGCTTGAGCATCCTGGGTAAAGGTGCGAGGGAGACACCGGTCGCAGGGTTGCTTGTCACGTAGGAAGGCGAGGGGCTCACATTTGATCGGGTCAGCTACTTCACAAACTTTGGGGGAAGGGGAAAGCGGAGGGAGTAAAACACCCGGCTCATCTATTTTAGCTCAGTTATTCTGTATCAGCCTTTATTTTTTTGGGGAGGGGGGAAAAATACACCTTAGTTACCTTAACTCCCGGGGCGGATGAAAACGTAAAGTGTGCTTTAAAAATCGCCTGTTTTTTCAATGCACTTGTACAACATATGGACACTTGTCCTACAGGACTGTGCAGGAGCTTATATATACGTAGGGCAATTTAAATGATTTTAAAAGCAGGTCCATAAACCTTCCTCCAGGTTGTTGTTTTTTCGCGGAACCCTGAGAATTCGAGGCAGCCCGCATCTGCAGCCCAGACGCGGCAAATATTTGCACCCCACCTCAATTGGAGGCCTTTACACCGATTGCTTTTGGAAGGCAAGCCGCTTTTAGCCGAGCCCCCTTGGCCAGGCGGAAACGGCAGAGGAGAAAGGATCACGCGAACGAGTTAAAAAGCGGGGGCCTTTTGTGGCTCTTGTATGTTGCAATCAATAAACACCCTTTGATTTAATTTCACACACAAGCCAGACAAGGGGCGAAATGGCATCTGAGGTTTCTCTCTCCCGGGAAAGGGAGAGATCCGGCTTTTCCGTTTCCATCTGGGGAACAGTTTAGAGGGGCGAAAGGAGAAAAAAAAAACCCCAAGGATCATTTCAAGGATTCGGAGTTTTGTTTTGCAAGAGGATCACAATTGGCGAGTGTCTTTTTCCTAGGGCCGCGCCGCCAAATCAAGGACCTGTCCTAGGCCAGACCCGAGAAGTTAAACCCCTTGTTTGGCTTCCTTGCAGCGTGTCAGCTGGGTCCCCTCCCCACAGCTCGGTTTGAGGGTATCCTCAGCCCCGCGCAGCCGGAGGAGTTTGGGGAAGGGGTGTGAAATGCTTGTCTGGCAGGGATGCCAGGCCGGGATGTGGATTGTTACAGCTGCTGCGCCTGGAGAGGAGTAAAGAGGTGGTGGTAGGGGGGTAGGGGGGGGGAGTTGTTTGTACACAGCTTCCTCTTGGAGAAACAACGTTTATTATTCAAATCCAGTTATCACATATTTACTAAAAGCCGCAGACGGATTTAGCGCCGCAGCGTCCACACCGACTTCCTCCGGCTCTAGCTTGGCCCCAGAGCCGGGTAGCAAATGTGTCATTTCCTACTCCGTGATCTCCCCCTGAACACACGGGGGCTGGACACTTACACGGGCACATCCCCCAGACCAAACTTGCGCGGGGTGGGGGGTGGGGTTCTACTGTAGGCCGCGTGGCTTTTTAAAAATTCTTCATAAACAGCGTCCACACCGACTTCCTCCGGCTCTAGCTTGGCCCCAGAGCCGGGTAGCAAATGTGTCATTTCCTACTCCGTGATCTCCCCCTGAACACACGGGGGCTGGACACTTACACGGGCACATCCCCCAGACCAAACTTGCGCGGGGTGGGGGGTGGGGTTCTACTGTAGGCCGCGTGGCTTTTTAAAAATTCTTCATAAAGGCGAGAGTTTATTTCTACCGTCGAAGCAACCCCCCCGGCCCCCCCAACGCCCCCTCAGACGAGGAGACCTCTCAGCAGAGCGCTGCCTTCCGGCTCAAAGTCAGAGCTAAATGAAGCCGAAAGAGGGTTTAGGGATTTTTTTAAAATCTCTCAATTCAAGCACTTGCAGGTGCGCTGTTCGCTTTGCTTGGGTTTGTTGTCAGACTTGCTCTTTGACTGGAAGTAGCAAAACCTGCGTTTTAGTGGGGTCTTTCAACTCCCAGCGCTCCGAAAGCCACCTCGGCAACTCCGGTAGGGGCACGTTTTCACCCCCAAACGGGGGAGGTAGAACGAGGGAGAAACCATCGTTTACACGATCGAGGAAAACGAGAGGAACTTTTAGCCGATGATCATTTTAGTGCCCCGGGGAAATATAGCGCACTACATCGGTGGCTACGCGGCCTGTAGGTTTATTTTTAAAGTTTTACGCTGCAAAGGGCGGGGAGAGGCGGGGTTCAATGGAAACAGGGCTTTGCTGGCCCTACGATCACCGCGCAATATTGTCGGCTGACCCTAATTTTTGCACGCAAGCTACATGACAAGAATCCCTTTCCTGGACCCAAACACACAACAACAAAAGTCCCCGGGACGCTGCCACATGTTAGGAAACTGGGAACGGGAATTTAGGGCGAAGCTGTCATTCTGGCTGTTTTCCCAACTCGAGGAAATCCGCCTGGAGGGGCTGATTTCAAACATACAAATCTGGGGCTGGGCGCAGGAGGGATGGCCTAAAAAAAAAAAAAATCCCCCGAATCTCCGCTGGATTTGGCCTGGCTTCTCGTTTTATTTTCTGGGGGATCGGGGCAGAGAATCGGGCCCTGGAAGATGTTACACAAAAGTCTAGTTGGAAGCGAACAGGCCCGGCCCTTTGAAGGGAGTTGACGGACACCCGCCAGCGATCCGAGATAACCTCTGGGCTCCCAGAAGCGCTGGACAGCTACTCCCGCCGTCCTTCCGACTTTCTGCCCTCCTCTTCCCCACAGCTGTCCCTTCGCCAAGGCAAAACGCACGCCCGCCCCCTCCACGGGGACTGCCACCACCCCAAAGGCCCTCCCCTCGTCTGCGCCCTCCCCAGACCATCACCTTGAGGAAGAGAGCTGAAGGATATTTCGTGTGTGCGCGCAAGGGGAGAGGCCCGGGAGGGGGGATTAAAAAAAAATGTGAAAACCTCTGTTCTATTCAAAAAAAAAGAAAAAGAAAAAAATAGGTTAAAAAGGAGAAATGCGAGCCCCGGCTTCCGACGGGGGAGTCCGGTACTTACCGAAAGAAGTCGTTTTTGCAGTAAAGCTTGCCTTCCCGGGAAAAGCATTTCTCTGTCAAATTGCATTTACATTCACAGCACTGAACACACTTCACATGCCAAGCCCTGTCCAGTACATTCAACAAAAAACGGTCCAAGATAGGCCTTTTGCAGCCGGCACAGTGCACCATTGTCTTTGGCTATTTTGAGAGTGGGGGGTTGGCTCCCAGATGTCAAGCAAAAAAGAAAACCACAAAACCAAACAAAAATTAAAAAAGAAGAGAGAGGGGGAGGGGTTTTTTTTGTTTGCTTTAAAAGCCTCGGAGGAGAAAAAGGGGAGAAGCAAAGGAAGGGAAGGCGGGGAAAGATCTTCTTTCCAATGTCCTAACAGGGGCACGCAAACATCGAAAGAAAAGAAACAAAACAAAACAACAATAAAAAAACACCCCCGGCCCAGCTTTTCAAGACGGCAGCAGAATCCCGGCCAATAAAATAACAATTAAAAAAAACCCAACAATTAAAAAAGATCAACGCGCATGAAAATAACAATTAATACTAATTAAACAAAAATGTGGCGAGTTTTCTCAGGTCTGAGGTAGAGCAGTCAGGAGTCAAAGTGCATCTGCTTTTTCCCAACGAGAAGTCAAAAAATAAAAGGGGGGGGGGGAAGATAAAATAATTATAATAATCAAAAGGAGCTTTGGATCCTAACCTAGTATCATTGCTCTAATCGGTCATGGTATGCGTTGCAAAGCGCCGCCCTGGGAAGGGAGGGGGAGAGACGCTAGTTGTTAGAGAGAGAGATCTATTTTCATACTACAAATCAGCCAGATGTAGCTCCTCTCGCTGGACGTGGCTACAGTCTTCTTGACACCAGTTCAAACGCCCCCTTGTATATTTCAGCAAGACAGAGTTTTACCTACCCCTGTTTATATGTCTAGTCCACTAGTCAAAACTCCTAGCCTGGTCCCTGCAGAGACAATATTGCCCTGCATGCTTTTTGCTGTGGTGGCGGTGGAGGGTGAGGTGGGTGGTGCGTTTTGGTTTGGTTTTGGTTTGGTTTTGCTCTGTTGCCAGTCTTCGGCGGCGGCTCGAAGCCAAAAATGTTCCAAGCAGGGGCTGCGGAGGAGGAGGAGGAAGAAGAGGAGGAGGAAGAGGAGGATCTGCAGGGCCGGATCCTCTGTGCAAAAAGGTCTTTCCAAAGAGGAGCCTCTCTCGCTTGGTCTGGCGTGTGCGTCCCGCTCTCCGCGCGTCTCGGTCCCAGCTCCAGGCGGCTTCTCGCTGGATTGCATGTTCCCGGCCGCTTAGAAGCCACAGCCTTATGCCCGGCGCTCTGACGTCACGGCAGCGGCTAGCCAATCACAGTCCCGCGGCCCCCCTCCCACCTCTGCAACCCATTAAGCATCCTTCCCAACCTGGGATGGTGCATTAAGACCCATTTATAGAGCATAAGAGGAAGCGACCCATTGTCAAAATTGTTAGGTAATGGGATATTTTCCCTTTAAAAAAAACTTATTTGGTAAGAGGCTTGAAGTGCACTTTGGGGGAAGAGATGGCTAAGGAGCATGAATGGCTGTAGTGGTGTTTTTTTTATGAGCGATAGCTCACAAGTTGTACCCAGCAGAGAGACACACAGAGAGTGATAAAACTGGTAGGTAATTTTTTTTGTGTATTTTTTTCCTAGATCAAGAGAACTGTGTCTGTATAACTATCATTTAAATGGAGGGAGGGGGTGTCTTGTAATTGTTGTTAGTGAGCAGAGCATCTCTATGGACGGGAGGTTACCACCAACTGTCCCGATTTAACGCAATGACCTTTGCCAATAATTGTACTGACTCAAGGATCGACAATTTAATGGTCTTTGTAAAGCATGTAAAGAGAAAAAGTTTAGGGGGCTAATAAACAGAAGGCAGTTTTCAGAAAGGCAAGGTCGGGGTTTTATATCGCAGAAGGTAATTGCCTTTGAGTAAACAAAGCTGATAACATCTTGCTTTATTTATAATCACGTAGATTATAACCATCTTTTGGGGAAGGAAAAAGAAAAAGTGTGAAAACACTTCTGCTGTCTAAGCCACACCATGGTGTTTATTGGCTTTATGGTACACTACATTCTGCTAGCGAAAGGGGTATTTTGAACTTATTTTTTTGGGGCGGGAGGGAACTGACGTTCCCATTAATTTCTAGACAGAACTATGAGTTTTCAGAATGCTTAAACCTGTCTCACTGAAAAAGAGGACTCATATAGCCCGGTTCCTTTATAAATTAATATTTCACTGGTTTCCAATCTAATATATGTATTTACGTGTATTTAATGCTCTTTAATATTTGCACTGGGATTGTTTTAAAAAAATCAACTACTCCGAAATGATTAATTTGCTAACATTTGTAATATAAAATTGGAATCAAATGATAACTGCAAGTTATTTAATGAATTTCTTTGCAAATAAAAATTAATTCGATGTTACCTGAAAGGGATTTTGTTAATGACTGATCAGTGTAAGGAAACTGTTTGGTTTCTCTTTGGGGTTTTGCATTTACGTTTGTCTTGTGAGAGAATAGTGTATGTAAATATATGACAAATGCTTCAGGAATGGTCTTTCTTTGGAGACTGATGTGTAAAATCTTGAGGAGAAAGGTTTACAATTCAGCTGAGGAAGTTTGCACTTGTTGATGATTGAAAAACCGCCTCCTAAAAAGGGGGGACAATCCCCCCAGTTCTTCCAATATACATGCTAGTGTAATGAATTCTGCTCGGCTTCCCAAATAAATGTCTGTAACAAAAATCTCTCCTTCATTCTTTTCTTGCTAACTAGCGGTTCTGAGAGAATGTTAATTAGCAAAGAAGGGCGGTGGTTTTTCATTTCTTTAAAACGTTAACGCTCGGCAAGTCCGGAGAAAATCATTTCACACGCAACGCGCTGTTTTCTCCTGCAAAATGCTTCTAAAAATCGAACATTCCGTTTCGAGAGACAAGTTAAAAAACAAACAAACAAAACCGAGAAAGTGGCAGGAGGCAAACGCATCTGAAAGAGGACGCTCCCCCTTTACCTTGGGATGTATTTACAGACCAGAACTCTGCTGGATTCCCTGAGTAGCTAAAGGAAGCACGATCGGTTGCTCACCTTTCGGATCATTTTCTTTTTTGGATGGCGAAAACCCAGTTCACATCTGCTCTAATTCTTCCTTTCCGCAGAACTGCGGTGCGGGTTCGTCCTACTCCGAACCCATCTCACTTCGGTTTAGCCCCTAGCTATTTTTTCCTCGTCATTAAAAACAAATCAACCCCAATTCTGCCACTCCCAACGCCCACCAGCGACCCCCCCCTTTGCAGGACTGAAACCGAAGCGTGGGTGCAGCCATGCCGAGAAGGGAACAGTCTGGACAACGCGGAGAAGCTCTCTGCTTCGGGTTCAGGCTCAACAAAAAAGACCAATAAGGAGGCAAAGTTTCGGAGTAGCGGGAAAGCAGAGGTCTGGAGGCGGCGGCTCTGAGAGACATCCAGGCGTGCCCCTCGGCCCCCAGCCTCTTTTCGATACCGATCTCCGTTATTTATTTATTTTGTCTACACCCAGGCAGCTGCTCCGTTTCTCAGCGCAGCCCAGAAGCCCGGCGCTTGGGCTGCCATCGGAAGACCTCTCCAATCCCGCTCCAGCTCCTCCTCTTTCGCCCGCCCGGTGGGAACCGGAGCGCTTTCCAGCCAAGCGCGGCTCCGGATCTGGCCTGATACATACACACGTGTTTGCCGGATGGGGCCCAAACTTCCTGGCTTCCCCCCCGCCCTCCCCGCGTGGTTACTTTGCATTCCCTCCGCGTGTAGTTAAAAAAAACTGGGAATCGATACGGTCCCTTCGCAGTCACCCAGAGAGCCCCCCCTTCCACATCCTTAACCCCTTTTCTCCCCGCATATGGGTGA